TAAGGACCGACGGCAGCGCTTCAGGGCCCTCATAAAGAAGGCCGTCAACTTGGCAGGTCCCAACCCCCTGGTTGTGGCGGGCGATTTTAATGCTCCGCAACACACTTGGGGCTACCCGTACAATACCAGCAACGGCGCGGAGCTGTGGCAGAACGCGACGGACATGGACCTGACTCTAATCACCGACAAGGCCTTTCCAACTCGGTTGGGCACCTCATCCTGCAGAGACTCCACTCCCGACTTGACCTTCGTCAAGAATCTCCCCGATGTACAGTGGGCCAACTCAAACATTGACTTCGGTAGCGACCATTACGTCCTGGTGACGCAGTTCTTAATGGTCCGAAAGAGGGCACGGGAGTTTTCTTGGACAAACTGGGACCAGTTTCGCAAAGTCCGCAACGACCGACCCCTACCTGCAACCAGGCCAAGCCTACAGAAGTGGATTAGCCAGCTCAGAGAGGACGTCATAAGTACCACCAAGAATATTAGTACTGACCTTCCGGTTGAAAAAATGGATAGCCGCCTTGCCCACCTGCTCGAGGCCAAGCAGTCACTTCTCGCCCGCTGGAAAGGCCAGCGCCTCAATCGCAGGTTGCGCAAGAAAATCTCCAACCTAAACAAGACCATCGAGGAGCACGGTCGCGTCCTCTCCAAGCAGCAGTGGGACGAGGTGTGCACCTCGGTAGATGGCCAGATGCGTAATGGCAAGACATGGAACCTGCTCAAGCACCTGCTCAGCGAGACTAACACCAAAACTAACCAGCGGAACGTACTAGCGCGAGCCATGCACGAAGCCAAGCAGTCCTCTTCAGAAGAGGAGGTTTTGAAGCAGCTGGTGCAAAAGTACCTCCCTGTCGACTCGAACCCCGCAACAACGTACCCCGAGTACTCAGGACCGGCCAACAATGAACTGGACGCCGAGATATGCCACGAAGAGGTTCGGCAGGCGCTTTACGGGCTCAATGGGAGGTCTGCCGCGGGCCCCGACGGCATAACTAATAAGACCCTGCGCAACCTGGACGACCGGTCAATCGACTACCTCACCGAGGTCATCAACGAGGCATGGAAGAGCGGCGAGGTACCCGACCCGTGGAAGGTCGCGCGCACCGTGCTCATTCCTAAGCCGGGGAGGTCACCCAACTTGGACAGCATGCGCCCCATTTCGCTCACATCCTGCGTGGGAAAGGTAGCCGAGCATGTGGTCCTCAATAGGTTGACTCGGTACCTGGAAGACAATGGGCTCTACCCGTACACTATGATTGGTTTTCTGGCCAAGCTTTCGACGCAAGACGCTATGAAGCTGCTCAAGCACCAAGTCATCGACTGCAACACTCGAGACATGCGGGCCATTCTCGGCCTCGACTTAGAGAAAGCCTTCGACAATGTTGCTCACTCTTTCGTGTTGCGGTCGATTGCTGAGCTCGGCCTTGGAGTCAGATTCTACAAATATGTCAAATCGTTCTTGACCCGTAGGAGAGCCACCCTCAGTGTGGGAGACCTTGTCTCCGAGGAGATCGAGCTGGGATCGCGTGGCACGCCACAGGGGTCAGTGATATCGCCCACCCTGTTCAATCTTGTCATGGTCGGGTTGTCCAAGAGGCTCTCATGTATCGAAGGCATTAACCACACAATTTACGCGGACGATATTACCATTTGGTGCACAGGTGGCAGCGACGGGCAAGTCGAGCGCTCCCTGCAGGAGGCCATAGACACCACGGAAGATTACCTCCGTCCCACAGGCCTGAGGTGTTCCCCAAGCAAGTCCGAGCTTCTCCTTTACCAACCCACTAGGCGAGGGCCCAAGCCCAAAAACTGGCAGCCGATCTCGAAGAGTGATATCAAGCTCTACACCGGAGATGGCAGTGCAATACCCAGAGTTGACTCCATTCGGGTCCTCGGCATGACCATCGAGTCCAATGGTTCCAACGGCAAGACTATACTCAAGCTCGCCGCCAAGACGGATAACGCGGTTCGGCTGGTTCGGCGGGTGGCCAACCGCTACCAAGGCCTCAAGGAAGACAACCTAATCCGCCTGGTCAATGCCTTTGAGCTCTGCCACTTTTCATATGTCGCGGCCATGCACAATTGGCAGCGTGCTGAGCGTGACAAGATCAACGTCTTGCTCAGAAAGATTACCAAGCGGGCCCTCGGTATCCAGATCAGGACGCGCACCGAGCGCCTGCTCCAGCTCGGAGTACACAATACGTTGGAGGAGATTGCCGAAGCGCAGGAGCGGGCCCAGCTCGCGCGCCTTTCGAGCTCCCAGACCGGCAGACATATACTCCGAGAGCTCGGTCACTCTCCGGCTGAAGTGGACGAGAAGATGAGACAGGTGCCCCATGAGATTCGTGACCTCATCACCGTGGCACCGATACCGAGGAATGTCCATCCCGAGCACAATCGTGGTAGGCGACGGGCTAGAGCTGCCACTCTTCTCAAGCAGATTCACAGTGAGGAGCACGCCGTCAGTTTTGTCGACGCGGCCGGGTACCGTGGGAGCCGCGCCTTCTCCGCAGTCGTCGTTGACTCCAAACAACAAATCACCAACTGCGCATCGGTTCACACTGACGATCCGACGGTTGCCGAGCAAGTGGCCATCGCCCTGGCCATCCTGGAAGGTGAAAGGGAGGTCATCTATAGTGACTCTAGGTCAGCTATTCGCGCTTTCGAGCGCGGTGTAATCTCCAAGAAAGCCCTGCGCGTGCTCCAAAGTGGTGGCCGCGACGGCATCAAGCACCACGTACTGATTTGGTTTCCTGCACATGTCGGACAGGTCCAAAGCGCTCCCCCCAACCTCAACAAGTCTGCCCACGAGGCCGCGCGCGCACTAACCGACCGCGCGGGCTCCGGGCAACGATTCGGGGCCAACGGGGTTGCAAAAAACAGGGACGCGCCTGCCACGTACAACGAAATAACAAAATATTTTTACCTCGCGCGGAGACTATATCCACTCCCTCATCCAAATCTTAATAGGCCACAGGCCCTTACGCTCAGACTACTGCAGACCGACACGTACCCTAACCTGAGATCCCTTCACGCTATTTATCCTGACGTGTTCCCCAATGACGCTTGCCCCGCATGTGGGGATGTATCCACGCTGGCGCACATGCTCTGGGAGTGCAAGGCAATGTACACGAACCCCAACACTACATCGGTCAGGTGGGAAGCGGCCCTACGCAGCTCCCTCCTGGCCGACCAACTTTGGGCCGTCCAGCAGGCCCGCGGAGCGGCCGATAGGCTTGGCCTAACGGTCCCGACGTGGGAGTCGCCCGCTGCGCGCTGACGCGCGCCTTGCAGGACCTCAATAAAGTTTCGCAACCAACACGTACTACTCAAAGTGCGTCAGCGTGCGGAATGCCCTCTCCCTAAGCACGCGCTTTTAAGAATGGAGAGGCCACAAAGCTTCACACTCTCTCCATTCAGAGGAAGGAGGTAGATATAGGGTGAAAGCTCATCGCATGCTGACGCGTTGAAACGCGTACGTGGGGTTGGGCTTCACTCCTTCGGCGAAGCTGCAGCGTTCACGGGTAAGCACGCTCTGGCGTTCCAAACGTGCAGCCAGCTCAAAGCCCGTGTCGAGGAAGGAGACATTCACTTGTGACGCCATGGCCCGCCCTTTTAACGCGATAGCGTTAAAGAGCTCGTGTCGCAGAAAACCCACCGCCGGCGTCGGCCCCATTGGTTGTGAGCGAAACATCGTCTGTGCGTCTGTGACCGAAAAATCAAGTTACCGAGATAGCCGCGGGAGACCACTACTTGCCCACGCGTGCGCACGCGATCACACTGAGAAAACCAGGCATTAAAAAAAAAGTGCTCAAAGTCATGAATCGCGGTAGTTTCTTCGCCCTGCCACTCCTCCCTGCTTAGCTTACAGCGTTTTTGTCGGGACGATCGAGAGAAGATATAATGCAATTGCAGCATGCGACAAACCTTTGTAAATACACTCGCACTGAACGGATTCTTAAAATTTTTGCGTCATTGAATTCGTGAGGCAATAACCTCTTCTAGTGAATTCATTCCATGGTTACTTGAAAAAGTGTTTCAGGGCCTCTTTAAAGCATTTTGTTCTACAAATGTCGCGACGAAAAGGTGCCCATTCGGAGATATAGCGTGCGCTGGTCCAATCTACTGTGTGCGTGTTTGTGTTCGTGCGTGTGTATGTAACAAAACATATGAATAAGTATGCACTTAGCGGTTGAAGGGTGCACTAGGGGCCAAATTTCACTATCACGTTCAACTCTTAAAGGCGAAGCTTTAGGGTCTCCCAAGTATCCCCTTATTTTATTGCCTTGACCTGTAGCCCCCTCTTATAACTGTTTTGCTATTTTAAGCACAATTACACGCATTGATATGAGGTCAGGGGCTAAAAATACTCTGCACCTAAAAATAGAAAAGAAAACGCCTGCTTCTGTATTCATATTAAGGAACCAGGAAGTGCATTTGGAATATTGTCGCGAAACACGCCTCCAAGTGCTTGATTTACACAGATGATAACGTGACCAAGTACTCTTTTTAACTGCAGTTTAACTGCATTGAGAAAAAGATGTTGAGCATTCCAATATGAAGAAATATACCTTTCAGTGTATTCAGATCAGATGGAATGCCGATCTCTTTTTTTTTTCTTTTTCTCACAGAGGTGCAAGTTAGATTAACGAATAGATGTATCGATAAATAAGCAAATCAATCAATCAATCAATCAATCAATCAATATTCAGACAGGCTTTGTTGTTTTCTAATTTTTAAAGACGAACGCCAGGCTAAACGGTGCTCGTTTTTGACGAAACGAAACGTAAACGACAACAAAATCAAGTTTGTCGAAGAATGTCGACCAATTTCAAGCAAAATGCATTCTCCGTGGAATTCACGTGGCGTCGATGGAGTAGAGTGTATACGATTGATTTGGACACTGGTGATGTCTCGTTTTTTTCAGCTGCACAAGACATCATCAATCATGCGGCAACACCATTCTATCAAGAAAAATAGAGGGAAGTAGAACTCACAACTTTCTATCTCTATAGTGCACGCTTGTCTGTCCATCGGGAAATATCTGAGATCCATTGGGCAGCTGGCAGTCACCGTCAGTCTGAAAAGAGAAAGAAGACGGAGCAAGTTGTGAGTCCAGGTACGGACCGTTCTACACAAGACACATGGGGACACAAGGGCACCGCCATCTCGCGCTGTTAATCGAACGTTTTCCTAATTCGGTATGTCTCGACGTGAATTTATGAAATCATGAGACGTGCAATGCCCCAACCGTGTACCGTTGACAATATGTCCAGCTGTTTTCACGCATATGCGTCTACTGTATGGCACTGTTAGTTTCGTTGTTAAGTATACAAACGGCAACGTATACTGTGGCAGCCCCAAACCCAAACCGTACAATTGTTTCTTTTTATGCAAACAATGACGAACAAACGTGAGATTTATTTCTGAGAACTCACCGCTGGGAGTGCAATACACTATACAAAGATATGATTATCATGGTATCGGCCATTATTCACCAACAAACAGGAGGCTAGAGTTATGCATGAATACCTAGCTAATGCTTAACAGAAACTCACGTGGGATAACACAATTTTTCTCACAAGTGGTTGCTAAGTAAAGCGCGAGGTCGCTTAAAAGGATGGCGAAGCTTCTACTAAGTCCCGCAAGGCTGGAAACAATGAAGCTAGATCATTCTGAAGTATAATCTGATTGTTTCTAGCTTGTCACTGTGGGCTTCAGCTAGGCAATGCTAGAGTGTTTCTGAGTTGTTACAGGGTGCTATATTTTAGCTAGGCTATGCTAGGTGATCTGTCGGGCTCTTTTTCAGCGCAGATATGTTCGAGGTCAAATTACAGACGACCACAACCACAACAGAGGTGTCAGAACTCAAGAGACGAAAACTCGCGCAGAAGCCAAGCGTTCGCACTTTTACTACATCTACGGGCACGTATTCGCGCGCACAGTGCTTCCATTACTTCGGTGTATTCTCGCAGCCACTGTAAACCGTTCCCGTTCCCGTGCGTTCTCTGGTTCTAGTTCAGGGAAACGGCCACATGCTTCAGAGAAGATGCAACATGCGGCCACGGCGTGATTATTAGTTATTTCTCACGATATAATAAAACCTTTGTAAATGACTTGTTACGCGTGTCTAGACAACAAAATTACCGTTCGCATCCGTTTGTCACTTTCTTCATTGTAGTGGACCAGCAGCAGGGGGGAGTTGTGGGATTTGACCAATTTTCGTTTCCCATACCCGTTCGTTGATTGATTGATTTGTGGGGTTTAACGTCCCAAAACCACCATTTGATTATGAGAGACGCCGTAGTGGAGGGCTCCGGAAATTTTGACCACCTGGGGTTCTTTAACGTGCACCCAAATCTGAGTACACGGGCCTACAACATTTCCGCCTCCATCGGAAATGCAGCCGCCGCAGCCAGGAATCGAACCCGCGACCTGCGGGTCAGCAGCCGAGTACCTTAGCCACTAGACCACCGCGGCGGGGCGCCCATACCCGTTCGTAATCGTGACAGTTTTATATACTCTTGTACACATCAAGGTGTTTACAAATAGCTCAAGCGGCTTCATTGTTAAAAAAAGGAGGAATGAAAATGGGCGCATCATAAACACCCCAATAACTATAGTATCCGTCAGAAACCTTGAGACCTCCTACTTTATGTCAAAACTTAAATCTGTATCTTAAATAAGCAGACAGCCATGCATGGTCTTGCGTCTACAATGTTGAGCTAGTTCATTCTTTATGTACATGTGTTTCGTTTAAGAAGGTTATTTATACGTAGGCACATAATCTACCCTTCCTAAACACAAATAGTTTTGCAACAAAAACTCGGCCATGAGTCCTGCGCTATTGGGAGATGTGAGTGTGAGCGGCAAAATAGCAAAGCGAGAACTTTATCTTGCTTTTGTCTGATGTGGCGTTCTAACTCATTATACATCTTTAGGGGTACGCTTACTTCTAAGTATGAACAAAGTACAGGACACAAGTCGAGGAACGCCCGACGTCTTGCATGCTGTATTTTATTCGTCCTGTGTTTCTGTTAAGTAAGCGCACATTCGAAGTTGAATGAGCACCAACCAGACCACGTTAACAACTTGTTCTATCTTTTTTTTTTGACGAAGCAGTGCACAGAAGGACACAAAACACGCACACATAACAGACGCAGTCACAAACGCTGCAATTGCGTCTTTTTATGTGTGCGTGCTTTTTTTTTGTCCTATTCGCTGCTTCTTAGAAAATCATGGCTGACAATCTATAGACCATCAGCACATAATAAGAGATCCCTAAATGTCGTGATCAAATTACAAAAGAAACACACTCATGCGGTTATGTCCCACCCTCGCATGCCTTATTACGTCGACTATTCGAATTCGAATTTGATGCTCCCAGAAAAGCACATTGCGTTCAATTTACCGATTACTGCACGATAGCAGTGAAGAACGTACGGGTGAATCACAATAAACGCGAACGAAACACAGGCAAGAAAGATGTTTGAGAATGTCGCGGCAATAGATATGCAGACGGAGAACAGTCGCCTGAAATGGTCGCCTCAAAGAGGTTGCGGTGACCAACCTGCAGTTGGTTTCAGTATTAAAAAAAAAGAGGCTGTGCAAGCGAAGAAATCACCATCTTAGATTATTTCAGCTTTGAATTTACTTGGCACTGTGAAGTAAACGCGAAGTGCACATCTTCGCAACGAGAGCAAAATAGCACACGAGCGAAAAGTTTAAGCAGGCTTTTACGGAGATGTGGAGATATTCAAAGGATTGCATTAAAGCTGAGTATACCCGAGCACGTACCAAAGTACACACGTGCCCCGGCCATTCCCCACGGGTCCACATTATTAAGGTCGTTGTGCGGTAGCACAAGGTTAATGTTTAAAAAAATTAAACGCGCGGATGTATCAAAGAGTATTCACCGCATCGCACACGAGAGCCAAACCTGAAAGTTCAGGCGTAACCCACTTCGAAGAGCACACATCTGCCCTAATCTAGAGGAAAGCAAACAATCCTGTCTTACCCGAACTCGCCATCAAGACCTCAAAGAGAGCGATGGTTAAAAAATAATAATAAACCAAATTCTGTAAAGACGACCATCGCAACCATACTCCTTAAAGCAAACGCATGATGTAGCTGCATCGCAAGGTTGAAAACAGGCCGACAGCATCAGCGTATAAAAAAAAAAGAAGGAGAAGGCTGGAGGGAGAAATAAATGTTTTAAAAAGGCCGGAGAAGGAGGCATGGAATTTAATCTCGGTGACCAATATTTGTCCTCGTCGTTCGCATAAGGTATTTACTTGATTCTTATCTTTCCGTCTTTCCCTGCTCACGTTCCGTCAGTCCTATTCATAATTACAGACGTGCCGGTCCCCGTCACTGTCTTGCGAGAAGACTGAGTGTTTGCGGTGCTCTGGCTCGTGCTAGAAGCTCTTGCGTTGGATAGCTGTTTGCTTAGATTTTCTTCTCAACAGGTGAGCTTTAAGGAAGTCGTTCTTGGGAGGCAGTCGAGTCGTTGAATGCTACGGTGCACTTTTATGTAGGCGTCGTAACAGAACGGAATGCTGTGGCTTAGCCATAACGCACGAGTGATGAGCGAGCACGTCAGTGAGGCTTAGGGTGCCATAGGTCGTTCGGCAAGAAGCTAACTTACAGGTGAATGCCCCAGGAACAAACTTCCGCACTGAAACACCCAGAAAACTTTTCGCAGAAGGGTGGCGTGGGCCGGCTCGTCTTTAACCGTAAGAGTGGCAGAACGTAATTTAACGTGAAAATTTTAATAAAACACATTCAGGCAACTTAAAATGCGTGTTTATAACGTATGCGTGAGTGAGTTAGATATTTTTATTCCCAAGAAACACGCATGTCGCACGTGTTTATGAAATAGCGGTGCACTAGCAAACAGGTACTTGTAATTGTGAAACATGAAGCTGTACTGATATAATGTAAATACTTCATGTTAATAGTATTACATATAAATTTCCGCATCACAGAGACAGACTTGTGGGAGTCATGAATGGTTCCCGAAAAGAAAGAAGTTGAATACGCTCATTACCACGTGCGGCTGGCATCTGTCTCTCTTCAGTGCTGGAGGTAGCAAAAGTGAGAGAAAGAGATATCTGAAGTTCGTTAGTGCAGGTACTCATCTTGTGATCGCGGCCTCTCCATTGGACCCTCTTTCTACCATCTGTTTACCCTTCGTTCCCTCCAGCATTGTAACGTTCTCCATGTGAGTTTCAAACCACTTTGCAAGCATCTTCTTGGATACCTTACTGTTTAAAAAAAAAGAAAGCATATGAGGAAGATAAATTCAGAGAATAACGTGTTCCTTATGTCGCCATAATACTCAAGTGATAGCGTGACGTCGTGGCCGTAGGAACAGAATGAGTACTTTGAAAATATTTCTGAGAAAGAAACACGATGCAAAAAATAGGGCTATAAGTGCAGATTTGTGTCGTGAAAAGAAAAAAAATACTCTGGTTACTGCGAAATTGCAGGCAAAACAAGCAAGCCGTCTGTGTCAATGCCAACGTAGACGTGCCCAAGCAAACACAGCGAGAGATCTCCTCCATAAGTTATAGGAGCCACCGAGGAAGAGAAATGGACACAGTCGAAGACGAGGCGGGCCGAGCGAGGATGGAAAGAAAAAAAAAATCGCAAGAGGCCTTAGCCATAGGCTTGGAGGTGCTTGTGCACTCAAGTCGGAGATGGACGGGCAGGAGAGGACAGGCCGGTAATCCTATCAGGGGTGCCTTCGCGCGTCGAGCCAGCGAAAGAGAAGATGTGCACCCACGTAGGAAGCGACCCGAAGAACACATTGGACACGCAGTGGTCGCGAAGAAAAAAAAAGCAACAGTGACCCAAGAAAAAAAAAACCAGAGCCCATCTCAACGCGAGAGCGCGAGAATATTCTTTCCTTTTGACCGGCGGGAGGATTAGCAACGGTGCTCGGAGCCGGCTGGTCAGACCGTGTTGATCATGGGCAACGTCGCGTGTAACACCCTTCCCGTGTTAGGCGCCAGTGCATCCCAAACACGAGAGAAAGCGGAGAAGGCCTGTCCTTGCCTAGCTATGCCAGCTGCGTAC